GGTACCTGGACATAAACCCCGCCTTGCAGGAAATTTTCTTCCAGAAGGGCTGTAAATTATTCGTTATCTTATCTGAGGTGGCGGGGCTCATCTCGAAATTTTCACGCTGGTCCCCTAGAATTTGTGTGGTTCAGGGTCAGTCACTTTGGTACCTTTTTTCCCCCTTATTTTTTCTTTATTTATTTTACCTTCCCAATATTATTTGTCCTCGAGAGCCACGGCGCTGTCATAGGTGGTTCGGGCATCAATAACACATCTGGCCGACAAACCCCGTCCTGGTCTTTTTTTTCTTACCCCTCTGTTCTGGGTTAAAAATCGTCGCCCGAGTCCTATTTTTCTTCTTTTCCTTTTCTCACCTCCCCTCCCTCTTGTCTTTTCTTCTTCTTTTTTTTGCGCGAAGGAGGACGACGAGATACCCCCCAAAATATAACACAAGATGGACAAAGGAAACTTGGTCCAGCTGCTCCAAGCGAGCCAGATCCGTGAGTCTTTCCCCCCCGTCCACCTCTCCGTCGCCCTGTGCCATCCCGGCAGCAAACCCAGTCAAAAAGCCAGCCTCCTTCATTTCCTCGCTCTCGCTTCTCTTAGCTTTGTGGCTCTCGCCTATTTATTATATGCTGCTTTTCCCCCCCTTCCTTTCTCCCTCTTAACATCCTCTGGAACCAGACAAACTCGCGAGTTATATATCTTGCTAACCTGCTTTCCTCTCTCCAGCCGACACCGAAAAGGTCAAGGCCGTCACGGCCGAGCTGCAGAAGAACTACTACTCCCAGCCCGAGTCTCTTCTCCTCCTCATCGAGATCACCATCTCCCACGATGACGCCGCCATCCGTCAGCTGGCCTCCGTCCAGGCTCTGCGCCTGACTCCCAGACACTGGTCCAAGCTCGCCGCTGACAAGCGTGAGCTGGCCAAGAAGCACATTTTGGAGAGCATTCTGAACGACCAGTCTGCCTCTTCGCGCCACTCCAAGTCGCGCCTTCTGGCTTGCGCCGTTGGCCTCGACCTCGAGGATGGCGAGGGCCAGGACTTTGTTCGCGGAGTCCTCTCCCTGAACACCTCCGACAACGTCGCCCACCGCGAGGTTGGCTCCTACATCCTCTTCGCTCTCCTCGAGAACGACCCCACCCATTTCGCCGAGCAGACCCAGCAGCTGCTCGGCCTTGTCCAGAAGACCATCGTCGACCCTGCCAGCGCCGATGTCCGCCTGGCCTCCGTCAAGTCCGTCGGCGCTCTGCTGATGCTCGTCGACCCCGAGGAGGACACCCAGAGCCTGAACCTCATCCAGCAGCTCGTCCAGCCCATGGTCGAGATCCTCAAGAACGCCATCTCCGAGGGCAATGACGACCAGTACAGGGACGTCTTCGAGGTCTTCCAGTCCTTCCTGGCCTACGATTCCGCCTTCCTCGCTGCCCACCTCAAGGACCTGATCCACTTCATGATCGACCTTGCCGTCAACACCGAGGTCGAGGAGGATGCCCGCTCGCAGGCCCTGGCTTTCCTCAGCCAGTGCGCCCGCTACCGCCGCATGAAGCTCCAGGCCATGAAGGACATGGGCGCCCTGCTCATGGTCAAGAGCATGCAGGTCGTCACCGAGATCGACACCGACGACGAGGACGACGACAACTCTCCCGCCAGGACCGCTCTGTCTCTCATTGACCAGCTGGCCAGCGACCTGCCTCCCCGCCAGGTCATCGTGCCCCTTCTTGAGCAGTTCACCCAGTTCGCCCAGAACCCCAACCCCGGTCACCGCAAGTCCGCCATCCTCTCTCTCGGCACTGCCGCCGAGGGCGCTCCCGACTTCATCGCCACCCAGCTCCAGCCTCTCCTGCCCGTCGTTCTCCAGCTCCTGAACGACCAGGACGCCTCTGTCCGCCACGCCGCCCTCGTCGGTCTCATCCACCTCGCCGACGAGATGGCCGACGAGCTCTCCCCCCAGCACCGCGAGCTCATCAGCGCCCTCCTCACCAACCTCGAGGCTGTTTCCGGCTCCTCCGACAAGCAGGGTGTCAGGATCATTCGCGCTGCCTGCGGTGCTCTCGACTCCCTCATCGGCGAGGGTCTCGACGACGAGCTGATCAAGGAGTTCGGTCCCAAGCTGATTGTCCCCATGGGCAAGCTTCTCGGCCACGACGACTTCGCCGTCAAGGCCGCCGCTGCCGGTGCCATCGGCGCCATTGCCTCCGCCCTCGGCGGCGAGCAGTTCAAGCCCTACTTCAAGGAGGTCATGGGCGCCCTCGGCCAGTACGTCACTATCAAGGACAGCGAGGAGGCCCTCGCTCTCCGTTCGTCCGTCTGCGACTCCATGGGCCGCATCGCCGATGCTGTCGGCGCTCAGGAGTTCCAGCCCTACGTCATGGACCTCATGAAGGCTAGCGAGGAGGCCCTCAGCCTCGACAACGCGCGCCTCAAGGAGACTAGCTTCATCCTCTGGGCCTCTCTGTCCAAGGTCTACGGCAGTGAGTTCGCTCACTTCCTCCCCGGCGTCTTCAAGGGACTCTTCGACTGCCTCGAGCTCGAGGAGGAGTCCGTCTCCATCCCCGGCCTCAAGGAGGAGGACATCCCCGAGGGTCTGCTGCTCTCCGGCGGCAAGAAGCTCAACTTCAAGGCCGTCGACGAGGATGACGAGGAGGACATGGACGCCGACTGGGAGGACCTCGACGACTTCGCCGGTGTCACCGCCGTTGCTCTCGAGCAGGAGATCGCCCTCGAGGTTCTCGGCGACGTCATCACCCACTCTTGCGGCGCCGATGCCATCAGGCAGTACCTCGGCGATGCCATGGGCAAGGTCGCCCCGCTGGCCGAGCACCCCTACGACGGTGCCCGCAAGGCCGCCATCTCCACCCTCTGGCGCTCTTACGCTCGTGTCTGGCAGCTCTTTGAGGAGTCGACCGGCACCAAGTGGCAGGCTGGCTTCCCCCCCAAGCAGCAGCCCGACGAGGTCATCCTCAACCTCGGCCAGATGGTCGTTGATGCCACCAAGGGCGTCTGGCAAGAGGACACGGAACGGTACGTTTCACACAGTTTCTTTTTTTCGTTTACCCCAAAATCCCCCCCGCCCTTGAAGGATGAGTAACTCGCGTTATACCCAGCTCACTCAGACGCACACAATGTGTGCGGTTGCTGAGAACACGTTTGATCACGTCTGACCCATTGGGCAACTTGATGTTTCATCATGACTGTTTGTTTCGTTGGACATTCACACTAACGATTTTATTCAGGAGCGTCGTCACCGAGATCAACCGCAACGTCGCCGCCACCCTCAAGGCCTGCGGCCCCTCCATCCTCACCCACGAGGATCTGCTCAAGGAGAGCATCACCATCCTGGGCACCCTCATCACCCGCTCCCACCCCTGCCAGCAGGACCTGGGCGACGAGGAGGAGGAGCAGGAGGCCGAGGGCTCTTCCGAGTTCGACTGGCTCGTCATCGACACGGCCCTCGACGTCGTCCTCGGCCTCGCCACCGCCCTCGGCGGCGACTTCGCCGAGATGTGGAAGATCTTTGAGAAGCCCATCCTCAAGTTCGCCAGCTCCCAGGAGGCTCTCGAGCGCTCCACCGCCGTTGGCGTCATCGCCGAGGCCATCAAGTACATGGGCGAGGCCGTCACCCCCTTCACCGACTCCCTCCTGCCTGTCCTCGCTCACCGCCTGACCGATCCGGACCCCCTCGCCAAGTCCAACGCCGCCTACGCCATCGGCCAGCTCATCTTCAACTCCCAGTCCACCGACAAGACCATCCCCCAGTACCCCGCCGTCCTGGAGAAGCTTGAGCCCCTCCTGCAGGTGAAGGAGTCCCGCATGGTTGACAACGTCTCCGGCTGCATCTCCCGCATGATCCTCCGCAACCCCAACCCCGAGTTCGTCGAGCGCGTCCTGCCCGCCGTAGTCGACGTCCTACCCCTCCAGGAGGACTACGAGGAGAACGCCCCCATCTACCAGGCCATCGCCAAGTTGTACGATCAGCAGAACCCCACCGTCGGCAACCTCACCCCCAAGATTCTGCCCATCCTGCAATCCGTCCTCAGCCCGCCCGAGGAGCAGCTCGAGCCCGAGACCCGCCAGCTCGTCCAGAAGCTTGTCTCGCTGCTCCACTAAATCGTCGTCCAAGGTTTTTTGGAGAGGAGAGCGGGGGGGGGGGGAAATTGGTGAACGGAGAAAAAGTTTTGTGTTGCCCCCAATGGGCTCTTAATGAGTGATGAGTGGACGAGAACCCCATGTTTTCAAAAGTCTGTAGATAGGTTCGTAGACTTACCAGGGTAGGCTTCCTGGATGATTCCCAATGCTCCATCAACTTTGTTTTTGTTATGTTCTGAACACATTGCCTATCCCAATGGGACTCGCTCGCCGTGCTGATGTAGTAGACACGTTGTCTGATGAATTCCTTTTTCAACATGGGCACGTCCCGCGCCCTGAAGAAGTTCGGCCTTTTGAGCATCTCCACCAGTCGTACAGTGGTCCCAGCATCCGCCTATTCTATTAAGAAACACGTAGCGGGGGTCGGGAAGGCCACATGTAAAGCGGCAGCACCGACGAGCGAAGCAACCCGGAACGTGAAACCATCACCAAGAGCAACCTTTCACCTCGTGCGAGAGCAGATATTGGTCTTGGTTGGTATCCTTTTCGGAGAGCGTCACGGCTATTGGAGCGGACATGGGGAATATTGCTTCCCATTGTCCAGACAGATCACTTGGGATTTCCTTTGCACTTTCAGACTACCATAGATAATCAGAATAGAACAACACACCTGCGTATACCTCTTCTCCTTGGAAATCCGAACTAGAGCCTTACGACCGAATCGATAGTTTTAACGTGGTAGCTCGGGCGATCTATGGGTCTTTTGCCTTGTCTGGCTGGCTAAGCTTGCCCTTATCTGATGAGAGCTTCCGAGGTCTGATCAGAGAAGATCTTGCACAGTTGCCTTGGTCGTGGCGGAGCTGTGAACACAACACACAAAGTCCCCAAACCACACTGCACGCTTCCCGCTATCGCTGCAGGTAAAACCTCAGAGGAAGACGGCCTTCTCTCCCTCGCTCAACTCCTCGGCATCCGCGTCGGTTCTGAGGACCGTCTCCTCGGCCAACTCGGCCGCGCTCCCCTCGCCGAAGAGCCTCCAACTGCGCGGGGGCCGAGAAGCCGAAGATGACGGCGGAGAAGAGCCTCAGCGCGCGCAGCGGGCGGCCGCTCGTGAACACCCGGCCGAGGAGCTTCCAGCACGACGGGACGGCCCCGAGCGGCGCCAGCAGGCCGTCGACGTAGGGCACGTACTCGACCCACACGGCGTGCCGCTCCGAGTCGACCAAGTGCGCCAGCTGCCAGCGCCGGAAGGCGCGGACGTCGCGCATCATCTCCTCCTCGCCCGGGAGCCGCACCCTGCCCGCGATGACGGCCGCGACGAACCGCGCCTGCGCCTCGGCGACCCCGTTGGCGGGCCCGGCCTGCTCGGTCTGCCCCAGAACGTAGAGGCCCCTGCAGCGCGGCGAGACGACCATCTTGTACAGGTCCACGTGAGGCGCCGGCATGTCCTCGCTCGCCAGCACGTCAGGCGGCAGGGGCGGCTGGTCGACGATGCGATACCCCGTGCCTAGCTAGTATCACCGCGTCGGCCTCGACGGCGGTCCCGTCCGCAAGGAGGACGCCCGTCTCGGTGAAGGACGCGATCGTCGACCGGCGGAACGAGAGCACGCCCGTCCGCAGCTTCTCCACAAAGTCACTCCTGATGGTGACGGCCTGGCTGGTGATACCATGGTCCGGTTGGAGCTCTGCCGGCAACTTGCCGCCGGCGAGTCCTACGATCAGCTGGAAGAAACACTCCTGCACGCTTGCTGGAAGCCACTGACTGACGCGGCCTGTTGCAGTTTTGTCAGCGGACGGTACCGTCCCCGAGATTGCCATGAGAGAAACCCACTATTCCATGCCTCGGGCGGCTTCCCGAGTAGGGACCGGGGGAGGATCCACCCCCCGCGGCGGTTGATGATGGTGAGCTCTTTGGCCAGGGGTGCGACTTCGCACGCGATGTCGACGGCGGACGGCCCAAGCCCGACGACCACGACCTTCTTTCCCTCAAAGGCGCTCGGGATGCGGTAATAGTGACTGTGCAGCACCTCGCCCTTGAACCGCTCCCTCCCTTCGTACTCAGGAACGAGGGGCTTGCCCGAGGCCCCGTTCCCGGACACGACTGCGTCGAACGTCAGGACCTCCTCCCCGTCACCGTCTTCCGAGTTGTCGCTGCGCACTCTGACCTCCCACCCGCCGTCGGGGCGCTGTACACACCCGACTACCAAAGTGTTGAACCGAACATGCTTCGCCAGGCCGAAGTGCGCCGCGTACTCGTTCAGGTACCTCAGATGCAGCCTGTGAGAGTAGTGTACCGGGTACCGCGCCGGGTCGATGGGGAAGTCGCTGAAACCCGAGATGGCGCGCGAGCTGTTAAGAATGACCCCGGCGTAGACGGACGAGTGGGTTTCCGCCGTCGGCGCCGGTTCATAGAGCCACTGGCCGCCCAGGGCGTGGGCCCGCTCGAAGCACTGCACCGTCAGCCCAGCGGCGAGGCATTCCTTGATCGCCACGAGACCGCTGGGGCCTGTATACGCAAACGGCGTTTAGCGTCTGGTTTCTCAGGCTCGGAGCTGGTCAAAACTTACCTGCGCCAATGATGGCGACGCGCTTGCTTTGCGATGCCATCCTCGTCCATGTGATGGCGTGCAGAACAGACGATTGCGGCAGGAGGTGACATTCTTTCGCGGAGGCCGTTGACTTATATCACGTATGACATGTCGGCTGACTCTTTCAGAAGTAGTGCTGACGGGCATACCTGAGATCAGCATTATCGCAATCTCACGCGTTTACTGCCTGGTTACTGGCCCACGTGTCAGGAGCACACCTAGGTAAGCTTAGTTCATGTCTGGAAAAGGGGTAAGCGGCTGCAGATCCAGGAAGTGTGGCAAGAAGGCGACTAGATGCAATAAGTAACCAAGATATTCCTTCATAGCAAAGACCACTTAATGGCAATCTTCACATTAAGCCAGCAGCATTGCTCTGCTTCTCGCCCCCGTCAACACACACTTGCTGAGGGTCGCTTATCCATGAACAGCACCTTTGCCCAGGGCACACGACGTCATGTTCCACATCCCTTAAGGTGCCTTCAGATCGGTTGGGGGCCGGAGGCCGCGGCCCGGGTGCCGGGCATGTTGCACCGAGACACATCAGATATACCGAACCGGCCTCCGATCACTACGGGCTCCACTTCCCGGACTGACGGCCCGGAACCGTGGGTCCATATTCCGGACAAGGTCTCCGTGTGTTTCTCGGCGCGACGAAGTGATTTCCCATGACGAGTTGCCACGCCCGGGACCCAAGAGCGTAGATGGGGTTTTCGTCATCAGAGTCGGGATCGGTGAGCTCCCCGTCTCCCGAGCGAGCGTCATCGGCGCCTCAGGTAGACGAGGGTACGTTGGTGGCCGAGGCAGTGTAAGACGGCAGTCTCAATTTGACACCCAGCTTTTCGAACGCTTTGTAGTGTAGTATGTAGATGGAAGATAAGCTCCGGCCCGAGCGGCGCAGACGGGTCTTGGGCCCTTGGCTTTATCGATCGCGGCTCTGTGTTGATCGTTGACGTGGCAACGCGCACTCGCCACGAACCCTCAGAGTCGCGCCTCCTCCCACCCGTTTCTTTTCTCCAACTCCCCCTTCCAAGAGAGGAGGTCAGCCACTGGGAGCCGAGCCTCAGTCATATCCAAAACATTGTCTCACCGTGAGCGCACCGGCTGTCCCACTTCAAAGTCGTCTTCGTATTTTCTTGCCAGATTTCCCCACTCGCGCGTCCATGAGCCAGCTCCTCACAATACGCACGGCATCGCGGAAATCACACGGAGATAGCCTAAATCACGCTAACACAAGTGCCATTTCCGTCCACAGGCACCAAGGCTAAAAAGAAAGAGAGATAGAGAGAGAGAGAGAGAGAGAGAGAGAGAGAGAGAGAGAGAGGGAGAGAGAGAGAGAGAAAGAAGCGGATGGCATGCTTTCCACAACGCTGCTCCCCTATCCCTACATGAGGATCGGAACTATGGCGAGACGCGAAGGCCACCAAAATGTTTATCGCAGCACACGGTAGGCGTTGATCTCTTTCCGAAATGTCGAATACGGGTCCTCGGGGCACGACGGATCGTCTGGATCGAGGCGAAGTAGAGTCTGCACAACGGGATTTTGTCTGTCCCCGAGCAAAGGGAAAGATTACATCTTATGTCGGCATTTCCCCTTCCGCGCAGGATGGAATAATGCATGAGTGACATAGAGTGGCTTACATGTATGCGTATGCGCCTCTCCGTCGACCTAGACTCGCTTAACTCGGCAGACCCATCACCTTCTGTGAGAGACTCACACCCCCCTCCCCACCTCAACGCTTTCTTTTTTCTGGTCCAACTTGTTGCTCCCTCCCTTATCTCTGTTGTCTCTACTCCCCACACGGGTGAGCCACACAATTACGACTTGCCAATCAGGGCCGGGTGCTAGGCGAAGAATATCAGTCAGCCTGAGAGTCGCTCTTGCGGGCTGAGTTTATCCGCATTTAGCAGACGAGCGAGAGAGAGAGAGAGAGAGAGAGAGAGAGAGAGAGAGAGAGAGAGAGAGAGAGAGAGAGAGAGAGAGAGAGAGAGATCTTACCTCTGCACTAGGCCAGCTACCGAGACTGTTAACAGAGACGTTCATACACCATTGAGAAGAAGCAAAAGTAAATTTAGAGTAAGGGGGGGCGAAATCTCTGCACACGAGAGATTGAAGGGAGGAGACTGTGGATGAACTGTTGTTGCGCATGCGCGCATGCATATGCATGCACGAACAGAGTATATTGTTTTTCCATCTCCACCAACAGCTTCATCGTCCGCATACTACCTCGATGCTGTACCACCTCCCCCTAGCCCCCCTTATTCTTGTAGCCTCGATGCTACTGTAACAGTCCACGGACAAGTCATGACGCTCTGGTCTGCTGATAGGGGAGCCTGTTGATAGAGGCGGCCTGCTGATTGATGGGGTAAGGGGAAGAAGTGCTCTCTCTTGGGTGGTACAACTTTGCCGCTGCCGCAGGTGCCACGACATTTTGTGCATCGACGCATAAACAACAGTGTATGTAGTAGGATACTTTGTGGAAAAGGTGCCGGGCGTTTGAGTACAGGACGGGATGGCTGCAGATGAAGTTTGTAGCGTCGTGCGACCTCAGGATGGGGGGACATGGTTCCCCATCACAGCTTGTTTCCACCTGACTGTGACACGTCATGTTAGTAGGTAAGTATATCACGACAACGATGCATATGCTGGGACATTCAGTCATCACCGAAATCGAGCCACACAAGACACAATGAAGCCAGTGTAAATTCTCATTATCGATTGAATGATTACTGCACGTTTACTGAATATGTGGCGGTCAGAAAAGGTAAGGTATGTTCATCCAAAACAGGAAGAAAAAAAATTGCCCCGCGTAAAGAGAAAGGGAATAAGTCGCAAACCAGATGATTGGTCGTGAATGACAATCGCACGCAAATGCCGCCCCGCGCCGTACCTTGCCCATCTCTAGTTAGGTATCCCCCTCTAGATTACACCAATTGAGGGAATGGTTTTCCGGGACATCTCTTATATGCTCTGGATGCTCCCACGCCATTTACCCGTTTAGGGGTAGTTGACAAACTCTTGCGGTGTGACGGGCCAGGCGTTGATGCCGTCCTGGATGATGGCAGACATACCTCCCTGGATATGACTCTGAATGTGGCAGTGGAGCAACCAGGCGCCAGGGTTGTCGACGAGGTACCGCACAGCCATCCATGTAGGGCCGTTGATGGCGTTAGGGGTCGCGAAACCATCCCTGCGAGGAGGGTCGTTCAGGTTCCAGCCAGTGCTGTTGGCGGCGACAGCCTCTTCGATGGAGTTCCAGGTGAAGTTGCCAGCGCCGGAGCCGAGCAGGAACATCTTGTTGCCGTGCTTGTGGATAGGGTGAGGGGGCTGCGGCGAGTTGACAACCTGGAAGACCATGTCAACCCAGGTACCGTTCTTGGTCGAAACGATGGTAGGATCGTTCTCATTGGTGTTGAGACTGAAGAGAACAGGGTTGTCGTTCTCATAATCCGCGGGGAGGAGGACGGTCTCATTCAGGGCCCAGAAGTAGGAACCGCCCGAAGTGTGCATATTGAACTTGTGGAGGACATCGCCGTTGCGGGGGATGGAGATGGGCGGGTAAGGCTTAGCGAGGGCCTGGCGGAAGACGCGGACATCGCGGGAGACGGGCTGGCCGTTGTCGCGGACCCAAGGAGCGGAGGGGACGATCTGGGGCTCAGGCTGGCCCTTCTCACGCCACTGGAGAAGAGCGGTACCGCTAAGCATCTGGGTAGCGATCACGGAGGCGGCGCGGATGGAGAAGTCACCCTGTTGCTTGTACTTGACGAGAACGGAGTAGCGGTCGCCGTTGGTGACGGGAATGGCTTCAACCTCCTGAGGGAGAACGTAGGCACCATCCATCGCGTAGACCCACATGGAGTGGTTGTCGATGGAGAACATGGCTGTGTGCAGGTGGTAGGCACCAATGATGTCGAAAGCAACCCACTTCTCAGTGTCGCAGTTGCTCTTCTCGACCTTGAAGGTCTCCTGGCCACCATCGCTGGGCTGGCAGCCTTCGAAGACACCGGGAGGAACCTTGCTCAGGTCTCCTTGGCCACGGGCGACGATAGCAGCGGGAATACAGCTGCGCGGTGTTAGTCAGATGGCCACCAGAGCATTTTGCGACATCACTTACGCCTTGTCTGTCATTCTGGCACCAGCAAGGTTGGCCAAGACATCCTTTCTCTCCTGGGTCAAGAGCGCATCGATTTCCTCGGGAGTGCGGCACGTGACTTTGCCCTTTCCGTTGAAAAGGAAGGAGTCGTAGCAAGAGAACTGGATGTTGGCGGCCGAAGAATATTTCGTGACCTCCTCGGAGATCATGTGGCGATGGTCGGAGAGGACAAGGGGAACGACCTTCTTTTCGGCCTTCTCCATGGCGTTGATAGCGGCACCATCGCTGGAGATCAAGCTGAAGGGCTTCTGGTGAGAGGCGGCTGGGTGAATGGTGATGGGGCCGAAGAGACCATCCTCGATGAGGCTCTCCCAGTGGGCGTGATACCAGTAGGCACCGTACTGGGTAGCCTTCCACTGGTACACGAAGCTGCCACCGGGAGGGATGGCGCGCTGGGTGACACCAGGGACACCATCGGACCAGGGGGTATTCAACTGCTCGATGCCTGGTTTGAGGTATTAGTCATGAGCTGCCATTAGGGCAGGTGTACATCGGGACTTACCGTGGTAGTGGACGGTGGTCGAGTAGGGGAGGTTGTTATGAACCTTGATAGTGACATCGTCTCCCTCGGTGACCTCAATCCTTGGGCCAGTGAACTGGCCGTTGACCAAAATCATCTCCCGGGCGAATCCATCGGGGGAGGCCGTCTGCCAGGTAAGATCCAACTCGAAGTTGCGAGACTCGGCGATGGCTCCCAGCGCCAGGGCCAGGGTCGGAAGAAGGTAGCGTAATACTGACATTTTGACAGCTGCGAGACGAAAGAAACGTAAACGAGTGAATGGATAGGATCTAAGACTGAGATCCAAAAGGTGAGTGAGCTGGTGTCCTCCTAAGAAGTATGATTGAGGAGACGGAGGACGATCATGATATATATGGAGGAGACACATGCACTGCGCTCGCTTCTCCTTGGTCCGCCGGCAGAAGGGGGGGGGCGTACAAGGCAAGGGTGATGTGCCGTCCGCCATGGCGCGGTCCTTCGCATTGGGACGTATCTGAGAATGGTCGACGACCAGGGGTGGCGGCCAAGTGCCATGGTGCGGAAGGAGAGAGGGCACACCTCCTCGCAGGTCCAGCTGCAATCTCGAGGCTCACAGACCAGACCTCAGGCCCAATCAGGTCGATTCATTTGCCGTTCTAGTCGCGGGAGATGCGTAGTAGTCTGGGTCAAAGCCATGAACTCATCGACACCTTAGCCACGTTGTAATCCATTGTCGCCATCAGGATGCGGCGCGGGTTCGTTTCCAGTCCCCTCTCCTGTCTCTGCTCCCCAAATTTCTTTGACTCTCACTACACAGCTAATGCCGGAGCTGGTGGCCGAGGGTCCGTGATTTTTGCCTTTGCGCCGGCGCGTCGAGCTAGACATTCGAAGTGGATAGCGAGTGGGGAGAGAGACTCGAGAGAGAGAGCGTGTGTGTGTGTGTGTGTGTGTGTGTACCGTATGGTGTGAGTGAGATAGAGAGGATCAAGGTACTAGAATGGATGATGTCAGCAAACCAAAGAACAATAAACAAAAGCCAGGCAAAAGCAAATATCACAAGAGGCAGAGACTATTAGACGCAGTCGCAGAAAGAAAGACCTCGCCCCCTGACATCTGACAATAACCCCCAAGATCCCGGCCGGCGATCGCCTCACCATCTGCCGTAATTGGCTGTGGCTGTCCGCAACGTCTCTTCCAGCTTGGAGGCATCCGTATACCGAGCACAAATACCACCAAAAAAGCATTGAGCGCCAAGCAGGGGATGGATTGAACAACGCCCCCCACCCCTTCTTCTCCTCAGGACAAGCCAGAATAGGTGAAGAGAGAGAGAGAGAGAGAGAAAGAGAAAGGCCTGACGTGACTTCAGGATGCAGGGCGTGTGCTTTCCATGTTGGCGCAACGCCAAAGCAGCCCGTCTTGCCGCTAGTCCGGCTTGCAATTTCAGGAGCCCCCGGAATTCTCAATGGTCAGACAAGTGGCGTAAGCTGGACTAGCCGTCGTTGAAATTGATCGGGCGCGCGTGGACCGTCTCGATTCTTGGTATTTCCTCGGTCGGGATCAAGGCCAGGCACCATCGAAGCCTTATTGTCCATCAAAATAGTTCATGCCAAGAAGCGAATCTCAATGCGCCACATCATAACGCTCCTCCTTATCCTCCTCCTGAATGAATGAAACGTCAGGACCCCCAATCCAGCCCTCCTTCGTCAACGTCTATGCACAATACGGATACACAATTTGCATCTCCGTTCCCGCCTTCTCTATTTCTGGCCAAGGACTAACTAAATGCTGACGACCTCGGAACCTTCCATTCTTAATATCGCCTTCGCCCCATGACCTCGCGCGAGTTGTTCGGTGCTGCTGTCAAATCTGCATCCTTCCACCCGCCACCGCCCATACATGCTCGGCTGGACGACGCCAGAGATGCTGTGCGCATCCACAAGGTGCCTCGCCCGACAATCACCGTAAGTCAGGCTTGCACGCTTGTCTTGTGCAAATTAGCAAGGGTTGAGACGCGAGAGTCGTCGATAGAGGTGGCGACCGACCGCCACGACAAGAAAGAAGCCTTCGTTCGTGGAGGCGCACCTGTGTTGCTAAATGAATCATCAAGAAAGACGAGTCTCGACCGTAACTTTTCCATTCGCCACAACTTTCTGGTTGGGTCTGTGTTCTGATGTTTCGACCAGCGGGAAACACCCGCTGCTTCTCCAGACTGCTGGGAACCGAGGGTTCAACGCCGGACGCGTTGCCACGTGCCTAGGCCGTTCGGAGGAGCCCTTTGCCTCCTCTCTCGCATCCCAACGAACGTATGCGCCGGGTGTGTGGTAGAAACAATGTCATCCCGTTACACCATCCAGCCAGCTCTTTGAGTGATGTGACGGTATGGGGTACACTCCAGACGACCTTGTCACGGTCCCTCCTATCGGATATGTCCCTCTCGGCGAGGCACATGAACCTTGTTGCACCACCAGCCTGGCTCTTGCAGACCGTCTGATCAGAATTTATCCCATCGAAAAACCCCTCCCAGCCTCAGGATGCTATTTTTGTGATGGCGCGTTGGCGGTACTCTGTTGAACCAGATTGCCGTGTACACTTCCTCACGATGCAAGTTTGGAGTCGTATTGGAAATAACCTCACAAACTGTCCTGCCAGATCACACCAGCCCCCATCGATGAAACGGCTTTCCATCCGACAGACCTCCTGATAGAGATCCGTGTCCTCACATGAATATAGGCTTGGCAGGCTCTCGCCGTTGGCCAGGTGTTCCGAATACACCACATTCAGGAAACTGCCGACGACAACACTCAGCACGGAAACAGGCCAAGGACCTGCGTTTCCCGTTTTTGCATTGCCAGACCTTGGCCAGTACCACACGGATATGCACGGAACCGCGATATGTGGCGCGCCAAAGATGGTGTTTCCTCTTTGAACAGTCAGGCTCGGAGCTAGGTATTTGATTTACCCCGCAAAAGGTGTGTTCTCACTTTAGCATAACAACTAATAAAGCACCTTAGTGGCTGGCAACGAAGCATGGGCTTCTTGCAACCCAAGTCGGGATATCAGTGTCAGACGTTGAAAATTGGGGTGGCGTTGGTTCTCCAACGACGGCAACCATGCCTCTGGGGAGAGATTTCCATGCCCCGGCTAATGCCTTGGAACCTGTGCTACCATGGTTCGTGAACGGTAGAGTTTGTTATTAGAATGTGACAGATCTGCCACTCGAGCGCGCTTTACAGCCTTTGAGCCAAGCTGACTCCGTTGTTTCGGCAGGCCGAGATTACTGTGATGGTTGGGAACAAAAGCCTGGAGGCAGGATTGCGGGGTACCGGTCAGTGACCTTCTGGAGAGCAAACTGATATGATCAACGACAAATCCCCAGCGGAGCGGCGGTCGCCGAAGCTTGCAGCTCAAGGGGCAGCAAAAGCAGGCGCACCGACGAAGCTGCACTCCTCGACCAGTTAGTGCGGTCGAGGCTTAGCTCCCTCATCGTTTAGCGGTTCCATTAAAGGCCTTTGGCATCGGCCTTTACAGATGAGCGAAACCAGCCAAGGCGCCGACGGACCCCAAGTTCTTCTGCTATTGGAAAGTAGTTGTTTGACCCATCTGGGCAAAGTTGGATCGAGACTGATCGTACCGTGCTCCCTGGTGGTTAATTGCCCACAAGTATGTGCTTTGTTCGCCACAACTCCAGCAGCAATCCACGAGGGAAACAACCTGTCGAAAATGATACATGTTTGGCGAGAAGGATTCGAAGAGGCGAGATACCAGCATCAGCCTAGTCTGCTACTCCCCAACCTGTGGTTGTTGAAACGGGGGAAGCAACCTGGCTGGTTGATGTTACAAACGCTGGCTGCCGCTCGACTGGTTGAGCTCAGACTCAATGAACCGTGCGGTTCGTCGACAAATCCATATGTAGGTATTTCAACGCCATCGCCGCGTAACTTGAGGCTGGGCCATATTGATGAATGGCAGGGACGTCGAGTCGCGGGTTGTCCGTTACCGTGAGCCGCAAAGGCAGGTCATGCGGTGCGCACGATATTGCACCATTCCTTCGAAGAGGCAAATGATCCATATGTCTGTGGAATCATAGAGGCTGGTAATGAAAAGGCTACTGCCCTATCCACAGCTGCAACCTGGAAGCTTCAACGCATTACGAACCAATAGGGCTGAGGAGGTTTTGACTTCCCCGGCGCTAGAGTGAGCGCAGCCACAGTGCCAGCCATATAGATAGCCACATCACGTTCAGTTGCAGGATGAATCCTCCAAAGGCCGTTCGACATGGACCCTCCGCCGCTTGACGGGGCTGATGGGCGAAATTGACAAGTGCAGCAGCAGACGCAGCGGCTCGGTTTGAGGGAAGCCCGATGATGAGCGACGGCAAACTGGACAAAAGGCAGTCAGTCGTCAGACGTGGGAAGAAGTCGTCGTCATCTCTGAATTCGCCTGAGACGTCGTATGTCTTTCTGCATGCCGATTCAGCCACAGTCAGTCACTGGCCTTGGCGGCATCATCAAGGGGGCTTACTGCGCATCCCGGGACCAATTTGTATCAGCCCCGCGAGAGGGGCCTTTAGCTTTAGCTTATGTCTATTTTGGAGAAGGATGTCGGGGAGAGCTCTGTTTGGATAGCGGCTCCTTCAACAGTCGATGGAAAATATGGATTTGAGGGGTGGCGTTGGTGAAGGTGATGGAAAGGAAAGGAAAGAAAGGAAATTGCACTCCTCCTGCCTGCTGTCGACCCGGACATCTGGAGACGGTCCACTCCACAGCGGAGGGCAAGGGCACGTGCGTTCCTGCTTGTTTGTTCTAGACTCTCTCATTTTCAAGCGACGTAACTTTCCTCTTTCGGTGACCAGGAAGTGACGGTCTGATACCTCATGTCTGGGAAAAGCCACACCAAACACACAAGTTTGTCTCTGCTTCCAAATCCTTTTTCTTTCTCTTTATATTTCAACTCAAATTTCCCGACTGCGTCCCGAGCCCTTCTTCCACGTATAGGTACTGCGCCTCCACTGTCACTCCCTCGGAAAGTGCAGCGACGGAGGCTTGAGATGTAACTCAACACTATGGACCCCATCGGGGCCGCAAGTAGACTTGATGCCCACCTGTTCGGATAGGAAACCCGCTTCTAATACAGATGTTTCCAGAGGTTGAACATTTGTATTCCATTCGCTCTATGGGTACGTTGACGTGCCCTGAGAAGGTCGTGCGGGCTACGATCTCATTACAACGTAACATGGAAGTCTTGTTTGCCTTCCCTGAAGAA